AGGACTCCACAACCATCTGGAGGAGGAGAACTTCACGTCTCGTGAAGATCTCTAAGCGCTGCAGAGCCTATTGGACCCAGCGTGTACCTTGAGAAGGCTATAGAGGTCCGATCAACCTCTGGCCTCTCCCCATCGCCGAACGATCCCTTGACGAACCCCTTCCCTGTGCGGAAGTTCCACGGAGCCTAGCAAACTTCGTGTGAGTGTATCCAGAGCTCTCTGCTTCGAGTTATTTTCTTCGGTTGACACGACGGGCTCGCGTGTTTAGAGCCTTCACCCAGATTGGGCTAGAGGTTCGCGTGGAAGGAACTCTTGTCCACCTCTCTTCTTTTCTGTCTGTAACCGCAACTCAAGCAAGTTTTTCTGCCTGCACCGCGACCATCTTCGGTGTAAATAAAATAATCTTTAATCAACCGCTAAGCGTCCGTGCCTAATTCTAGCCCGCCGGCCTGCATTCCCCAACCCGCGTGCCAGGGCTGCTGGCCACAGCCTGCCGCGCACCCCCGAGAACCTGGGACCGCTCCCGGCCCGCACACTAGTCATTAATGATGAAATAATTACAGGGTTTAATGTAGATAGATAGAATTGAAGTGGAGTTATCTTAGTACCTCTTATAAACAGCACCCTTTGCAATACAATACTGCAAGACAAAGCAGAAGAGTTTCCCTTGCTAGCATGAAATCTGCTGATAATGTATGTTAGAAGCTATCTTAGTACCTTTGGAGCACTTTATTTTTCATAGCTCAGACTGGGACATAGGTATAGAAAATGTTTCATGTGGGGCTAGGTAATAAATGGAATTGGAAACAAGGTGGAAACTAAGATTGGATTAACCTACAGCTTCTGAAATTATCCAGACTTTTACTACTTTCCTTCTACTAAAACAGGGCAACTATTGCCAAGACTGTCAGTTTAGTAGCTAGATCCAACTTTCATCAAATTAGTTGTAACTCACCCTTAATTAAACTGAGTGAAACCAGAGTTATACCAATACCATTCCAGGAATCCAAAGCAAGCTGTATTACCATGCTAAAATCATTCCTAAAAGAAAAGGACCAAGTAAAAAACTTCAGCAAGGTAAAATATCTCTGGCTTGGTTCCGACATCCTTTCTTGTTTCTTTCCATAGGTATTAGCACTTTGGGGATGGTTCATGACAGCCAATTCCAGAGGGAGGCAGTGTGGCTTAGTGACTAAGCAAGACACTAACAAGCACTGCATTTGGTCTCTCCTCCTAGCTTCATCACTTGCCTTGTAATCTTTGGCAGCCATGGTTCCTGTTCTCATTTCCCCTTTATCCACAATCTAGCACACTCCTAGTAATCAGTTGCCTCGTTCTGAGCTCTTCCCTTCAAGCCTCTGATCTGTTCTTGCTTAGCATCTATTCTATCCACTGCATCTCAAAAAAGAGCATCACTCATCCAGAGCCTCTGTTCCCTTCAAGTTCAAGCCCTCGGGAAGATGCAGATGGCCATAATTCATGTCCATATTGCTTCTACAGTTTCCAATTATTTCTTTCCTTTTCACCTTCCCATTCCTTTTTCAAACAACTTTATCTTTCTAACTCTTGACTACTGAGAGACCTCACCCCACTCATGAGTCATGAATGTCATGACCATTCCTCACTCATCCTGCATGGCCTTTTATTCTCTTCTGCTTTGTACTACTCAAAGTAGAAACATTCCTTGGTCTCTCTCATGCTTGGAAATCCCCCAAATTGTCAAAGCTAAAGCTATCTTATTGCTGGCTTTGCATTTTATCCAGTGACTATTAACTGTAAGAATCAGAAAAGCCATAGGAGGCAAAAATAAGAGCCAGAACCCTTTCCTTCCAAAATTCTTTCCTTCCTTCCTTTCCATCTGACAGAGCCACAACCCCTTTGACCTGACCTCTTCCTACCCCCTTATATTTTCCTTCTGGGTTCCCAGATGAGGACAGAGATGTCTAGTGCACAGCTTTGTGGTTAGAACACTTGGAAAATGGAAGATGTAGGTTCATCCCCTCGCCCCCTGGGTGTTAAAGGCCTAGAACACAAGTCTCCCATTCCTTGGGTGAATGCCCTAACAATTAGCTTATTGGAACAAAGGTGGGGGGGTCATTCCCTGATTTCCCCCAATCCCTCCCATCTCTAGTCATGGGTTTTCTCCACTCATGGTATCGAGGACATACATGGTTATGAACTGTATTCTGCTACAGAGCATATTTGGTCACAGGAGAGACCTCTCAACGTGCTCAGAGGGGCAAAAGTATCTGTGTAAGTAGAAATAGGATCTAAAATCTGCCTGTGCGCCAAAAATACCACTTATGCTACTAGATTTGGATATGTACATAGTAATTTGGTGCATAAAATATAATTGGATTTGGCCCATAATGTTCACAGACTGCAAAAATCACCAGTTTTCCAGGTTTTAGAATTTCATAGTTTGTATATGAAATGTTAGAGTTACTCCTTTTAAGTAAAGGCTATTTTCTTCAGCAAGAGAGAGGGAAGAAGTTGTAATGTGATATTGCAAGTTACTGATCAATGTCATTTACCTAGTCTTTATATGTAGAAGAATTCTAATTCAAGTCTAGATACAAGAGGGAGAAACAACTGTAAAGCAGCATTAAGTAGGACTAGAAGAAAAATGGAAGGGCTATGATTGACAGTTGACTTGAATGCCATTAATCTGTGAGCTGCAGGGTAAAAGAGAGCATAAAGCTGTCTTGAAGGACTATGCAAACTATTCTGTTCATGGTAGTAATGGAATAAATTGGAATAGTCAGGATAGCAAACACAAGGATTCTAATATAATGTGAGAAGCTATGAAATAAGACAAAGGTGCTAAAAGCTGACTTTGTTTTCAGAATTAATGTAAGGCAGCAAATGAAGAGATTATGTGATACCTCGCATGCCCTATTTCAGTCCTGAAGGGGCCCTGTAGCTCCTAAAATGTGCTGTACCACAATTCAACGTTACTCTTCCCCATCCCTCCTACCATCCTGCAGACTGGGGGCAGGGCTGGGCTGCATCAGCTCAGCCCAGCTCACTCACAGGGACATACAGAAGTTAATGAAGGTGCTTTGCTTTGGAGCACCTTCATCTCAACCCTCATTAAATGAAGGTTAATTTATCATGAGATCAGGCACTTAAAGCACTCTTCAGCTATGCAATTCTGTCAGGGCGTGGTTGTAAAGCACTTTCAAGAGGCCGATCGTGTGACAAATATCACTTCTGTCCGTGCCCTCTGTTTCTCTTTTCTGTGTGGACTGTGCAGAATATCAAAGAAAGGGACCTTTGCCTGGACAATGTATAACAACTTAGCTTCACTGCCCTCCCATTTCTCCTTTGCCCTTGATTTAAGTAAAAATGTAGAGCACACCCTGAAGCCTATAAATTTGGTGTGAATAAGAATCCAAAAGTTCAAATGTATGTTTAATCCTCTTTGACCCCCAAAAAAGAGGTCTGGATGTCATAACGATCAGCTTGTCTTCAGAGGATATTAAGTACTATGCATCTTTGTGTCATCTCCTGTATACAGTGAGGTCAATTTTTTTCCATTATTGTTTTGATGTTTTCTTTCTAGTTCTGCCTCCCACCAACAAGCACAGAAAGGTAAAAAAATAAACAGAAAATTCAAAACTATTGCTTTGTAAAAGAAAAAAAAGTCAACCATTATATCACGTAACATTAGCACTGTAAAAGTATTATGTGCATTAGTGCCCACATTCAAATACTTAAGGACTGTGGCTGGTCTGAAGAGCAAACAACCTAAGGGTAAGTAAGTAGCCATAACAGCGGGGAATTTACAAAAGAAAGATGTTAAATAATACCAAACAGTCAGATAACTATTTAGCTTTATGCACATATATATGAATTTTAGAATCTGTTTTCTTATGGGTTTTTTTTTCTCAACCTGTCCCCCCATACCCCACCCAGATCTTTGGCTATTTTATAATAGAAGGAGATGCTCTTGCTTCCCAGCTGGATGAAGAGAACATGGTTTTCCTGGTGTCCCGAAGGCGGCAGATTACCAAAGCAGGTAGCATATTTAATGTTAAAGGACAAAGGAAAAATTCTCATTCTACTTTTTAATGCTGTACGATGCATACTTTACTGAGGGAGCAACAATGAAGTCACATGGTTGCTTATGGTTATTATATACACTTCTTGTTCTATCCTATTTTCCATCATTTTCCCCTAAAGTCTCCCATCACTGTCCTGTGTGTATATATAGGTGAAGTCTTCCCAGAAACCACTGAACACACAAGCTTTGCCTATTTGCCCATGTCCTTAGACAGATTCTTTCTGCCTTTTGTTTATTAAGTTGATTTTTAAATCACAACATTTTTTCACTGTAAACAGGGTGGTCTGTCCCTTTAGGAAGGGGTAAACTGCTCTGTTAAGAACATTCTGCTATGGGACATGTTACTGGTGATGAGGGAGCATCCCACTGGGTGCTTAAAACCCCAGAGAAGAGACCAGAATGGGGTGAGCTGTGAGAAGATAGCTTGCAAGGAAGAAAAGCTGGGCTGTTGTGCAGCTAGAGAAAAGCCAGAATGGAAAATGACACTTCTTCTAATGTCCAGAAAGGATGGAAGATTTTTATTTTTTTTCTGTTTGTGTCATTCGAGATTGAAGTTTGTTTGATGAGAACTGGACTGCCTGAAGAACTAATAACAGAGCTAACTGGCTTGAAAAAGATAAAAGAATAAAGGACCGGCCTACACTAAGTCACTGTACCTCTTGACAAACCTCTTCCTGGCCTGTCCTTGTATTCCTTGCTAGTACAGTAGGGTTGGAAGTGGTTCTAATGATTTTTTAAATTCAGTATCATAACTTAAAATTTATAGAGTATTCTGAACCATCCTCTTTTACTTCCTTGAACTCAAAGATTATGTATTGAAGGAGAAAAATGTTCTTACCATCTTGGTTTTATTTATGTACTTTACTTTCCTTAGTTTTAAACAGCACTAAGATAAGGAAAAATGTCATGTCATTGGCAGGTATCAAGAGACGAGATGCAATTAGGTGTATAGTTAAGGTGCCACAGCTGGATTTCCTGGTGACAGCTTCTCAGAAAGGCACGTTAACTGTTTTTAATAGCCAGGTAATTCTGACTTTCTTTATTCTGTTTGCGTGTGTATGTGTGCGTGTGTATGCTATATTATATAGCATAATATCAAGGTATAATATATGCACCTTGATTCTGTTTTTCAGTGAGCATGTCTACATGTTCATTAAAGCATCTCATGTAGATTCACCCAGTATCATGCATGCATACACAAAATTAAATTGAAATGAATTTCAGTGGCTATTTCCTTCAGCACTTTCTATACACTGGGTGCATCTACATGAGCCTTAATGAACATGTAGACATGCTCACTGAAAAATAGAATCAAGGTGCATAAACATAAAAGTGTTCTTACCATAGTTCATTTTTCTGTAGTTTTCAGTGCTGAAGGAAATAGTCATTGAAATTCACTTTTATTTTGCCTAGTTTTGAGCTTGTAAAACTTGCTGAAAGCAAAGAAACATAGTAAAACAAATAAAAATATACAATATCTGGATACTTCTAAAAACATAGTTGCTCCTTTTTTTTATATCATACACAATTAACTCATTGACCTCAATGCCACACACAAAATTGAAACCAAAGATTTAAAAAAGAATTGAACATTTTCTACAGAGTGTAATTTATTTCCAAAGCAAGTAATTTTTTTTTAAGTCAAGTTTGTGAGAATAAATCTTCATCCCTTTGAACACAAATCAACTTCCTATAACTACTTCACTGAGCTGATGATTCCCAGTACAGGTCACCTTCGCCAACTGCAGGGGTTAGGTTCCAGAAAGTCCCCGTGGTTGGTAAAACTAAAGGCTTATGGGGGAAAATAGGGTTAGGGACTTGAATACTGTACAGTATAGTGTATAAAAAATCATTTTTACTTACCTTTAATACATGGGGTGGTCAACCAGATGTAGGTGTACCGCTAGGGGTACTTAGACAGGTTATAGGCAGTACGTGCCTGAGGGCAGGGATGGAGCGCAGCCAGGGCACGGCAGCAGCATCTCCCCCAGTGTGTGCACCTCTTACCTGGGGGAGGGGAGGGACATGCCACCTGGCCCCACACAATACACTGCGGCACTTCCCTGCCCCCACCCCTCTGAATGGCGGGGGGGGGGAGGGGCGTTGTGCCCACCTCTGGTGGCACATGATTGGCTGGTCAGCAGCCTGAGGATGGGGCCCTGTCTGGGCAGGGTCATGGGATAATCCGAGCCTGGTGGCAGCAGGAGCCACCTGCCTGCCCCTGGATGAGCCACCGGGCTCGGATTGTCCCATGATCCGGCCTGTCTGGGACTGCTGTTCCCTGCCGCCCTGCTTTCTACCCCCATGACCCAGCATGGCAGAGAGCAGAAATGCCATGTGGGGATCTCCTCACTTGCTGCTGCTCACCCCACATTGCCCTGGCGATGCACCTCCTGCATGTGGGGCTGCAATGAAGGCAGCAGCATGGGGCTGCACTTCTCAAACCATCAGCAGGCACAGGAGGCACGTTACCTGCAGGAGCCCAGAGTATAGTGTTAGGTCATGCCCCAGGACCAACTACAAGCCTACTTCCCCTGATCTTTCTTCACCCCTCTGGGCTCCTGGATGTTCTTCCTGAGCTGCTCTCTCTCCTGGGCACTCAATTGCAGCCTCCATCTCATAGCCTGTGCTCAGTCACTGGCCCATCTCTCTCAGACCCCCTTACAGTATGCATCCCATCAGGAGGCTGAACTGAGGGCCATTTGGGGTGCCTGTAGCTCTCTGCAGCCCTAGCCTGCCCCTCATGGTGAGCTTACTTGCCCTTCACTCTGTCAGCCTTAGCCCCATTGCATTGACCAGTTGGGACTCTAGGGATCAGTCTAAAAAGCAGTGGAGCTTCTTACTTAGCAGGAGCCTACCATGGGCCCCACCATACAGCATTCCTGTCACTGGACTTGCTTGGTGCCCTACTGATCTTATGCAAAACAGCCGTTCACTCCACTGGGCTCATCTGAGCCCCTGCCCTCAGTTATCCCCAGTTCCAATCAGGGGATTACCTAGCCCCTCAATAGGCCTACAAACTCCCAGCCCCTTTCCTAGGCTGGACTGGCTCTTCCCAAGGTCTTTGTGTGCACTGCCTCTCTTATATGGCTGTCCTGGCCCATTGCTCAGGCCGCTATGCACACTGTCTCTATCACTAATTTGGCCTCTTCACAGCTCTAGGCCCCCAGCCACTTCCTTGGGGCTTGGGACCCCCACTGGGCCCCTAGGAACCTCCTCCATCCCCATAGTTCCTATGCTGACCTCCAGATGTTCTGGGAGCAGCAGTACTACAGCCAGGAGATATTAATCATTCAGCTCCCCTGTTGCAACTGCTTGCCCTGTTCCCTGGTCCTGGTCTTATATTCAAGCAGCCAAGCCCTCCTTCAATCAGGTGGCCTCCTGGTTGTCATGTGACCCCCTAATTGGCTCTGCTGTCACTCACAGACCACTCTGCTGCCTGCTCAAGCCCTTAAAGTGGCAGTCACCAAAGGTGCCCTGCCACAAGGATGTGCCTTTTGAAGGGGGAAAAAAAACATCAGGTTTAGATTTTCAGGATCTAACTAGAGAGAGCATGCAAAATCACCTGATGAAACAGGCTCTCTTATTGACTGTTGTGTAATTAAAGGGACACATTTAACTGGCTAAGGTGAACTTTGAAAGTCGTCTATCAATTGACCCTCCACTCTTCACCACATGTAATTTATGAAAGATTGTGTGTCCATTAGAAAAATAAAAGAAGTCAGTGGAACACAGTGTTTGTCACTGAGGAACCTATTAAATATGTTTATGAGAGTAACAGTTTGGTAGCATGTTGGAATTGCAGTTTGAGAAGTGAAATTCCCATACATGTAGAAATTCCAAGAAACTCAATGCTGTACAGAGAACGATACCGTTAGACATTATAGCTGCTTTTCTAGCCAGCATTTTGCAAGACTTCAGCCCTTCTATGCCCTTTTAAGTATCAGCTCAGATTCTGCTACTATTAAAGCAACATTTGTTCATGAGTCTTCTAAGATATTATGTTTCTTATATCAGAAATGTATGATGTCCATGGCAGAAGGTATGGTAGACATAGACCACATATCTGTTTAAACTGCTATGTGACATACCTATCATTGTAATGCAACTAGGGCTGGCTATTACAATTTGTAAAAATAGTTTATTTTTAAATCAACTAGAGCACACTCTAGGGCTAACAAATGCTCCTTCATCTTCTAACTAGAATGCAGTAGAGAAGTCTCAATTAATTAGTCTGCTCTGCATTCTAATTGGAATGCTGCAGTGTCATTTTAAAGCCCTCACACTTTTTTTTTTAAAATGGCTGTGGGGCACTTTATCTAAACCTCAGTGCACGAGGCTTAATACATGCAGAGGCTTAATACATGTAACGCTGTGGCATTTTAATTAGAGCGGCTCTATGGGAACCACATTCCACCACCCCCCCCCCGAGCATGTGTATAGGCAGCCTAGAGAATTGGGGAAATTAGGGCAAAATGTTCATGACAGGAATGTACAAAAGAATAAGAGACTTTTGTGGGTGCTAAAACACTAAAGAAAAGTACAGGCATTTGGTAAGTACTGAAATAATTTATTTGCAAGTCTAGTTCTCTGTCCTTAGGAACATTATCCTTCTTCAACACCCAGGCAAAAGAATTTGACATAGAGCAGCATTAAACAAATATAAAATTACCCCTGGGCTATTTAGAAGTCTTATGCTGCTGCTTCCTCACAGTTTCCATTGATGTCATTTTGACATCAATGTCTCTGTTTTGTTGCCAAAGTGTAAATGATTTTTCACTTACCTGTTTGAAGCTGTGCGTTGGGGACTTTGAGTCACGCTGGCAAAAATTGTGCATGCTGCTTGGGAAATGATTTAGGCATTACAATTATCATTTGCTTGCTGTTTCAAAAAAGTGGACCCTACTCTGATCTCGCATTGGATTTAAATAGGTGCAATTCTATTCACTGTACTGGAAGCTCTCTGGTGCAAGTGAGACATGAATTTGCTTCAAGAATTTATCATCACAGTGGTCTGAATCCTGTTACTAAAAGATAATTCCAAAAGTAGAGTTGGAGCCTTTCAGAACAACCGTTGTCCAGAGGCCAAGGATTTAAAATGAAGTGATTTTACATTCTCATCTTTTAGTTATTTTCCCCCAGACAGCCTTGCAGTATACTGTCATGGATATCTTAAGGAACTTGTATATGGGAACATTTTGTCTCAAAACCTGTTCAGTTAATGAGCACTGCATCCAGAAATAGACTGTTTGGGTTTTTTAATTGAGCTAATTTAACACACGATGGTTCCTGGTGGAATTCAGGGTGCCTCTACACGGGCTCTGATGCATTCTAATTAGAACACATTACAGCAGACTTGTTTAATCACACATGCTGCTTTGAAAATGATTTAGGTATTACAATTAGCATTTGCTTGCTGTTTTTAAAAAAGTGGACCCTACTCTGATTAATCGAGTCTGCCCCATATTCTAATTAGAATGCTCTAGCATTGCCGCAGTGTTTCATGTATAAGTCTCTATAGGTTTAAAAATGACCACTCGGGTGCTTTAACTAAAGCTCATTTAAATAAGCTTTAGTTCAAGCATCCTATGGCCATTTTTAAATATGTGAGGGCTTAACACATGTGATGCTGCAGTGTTCTCATTAGAGCAGCTCTCCAGGAACCACTCTAATTAAAAAAAAACCCTTCCCCGACTGCCGAGCGTGTGTGTGTGTGTGTGTGTGTATGTATGTATGTCTGCATGTGTATATACATGTTTGCCTACATATACAGGCACCCATATTTATCAGAAAAATCAAAGGGAGTCCTAAGCATGAATTCATGGTCTGTGGTTGGTTTAATAATTACTGGGGTGCCAAACACACAGCCCCTCAGGCTGCATCCAGACCACAAGATTCTTCCTGCACCAAATCCAGACATGGAAATAAATTATTTCCAGTAAATAATTCCCTGTCTGTCACAGTGTATCCTCCATGTTGCACAATACTCAGAATGATTGACTGAGATTGGAAATGGCAGGATCACCCTTTCCACATCATCCCTTAATATAGCAAATGACAAGACTTCCATCCCCCTAAATATACTGTATACATTGCTAATAGGTCTCATTATCTTCTGCAATAAATACAGATTGTGGAGGCTTTTCTAAGTGTTGAATGCTGGAATGTAAACCTTCTCACTTACCAAAATGTCTGTAGCTATTAAAATTTAAAGTAGAGACAAAGAGAAAAATCATTCATTTCTAAACTCACTAATTCGTCTTGGAGTGTCAAATTTTGCTTTCTATGAGAGAGAATTTTTGTGGGTGCTATCTGTAATTGGACCAACTAGATGCACAAATTGCCCACAAGTCCTTGCCTCTTGCATAATTCTTGGACTATCGTAGCTACAACATAACCCCAACACTACCAAATTTTTCTTTCTTTGTCAAGATATGTGGTTCTTAACAGCTCTGGTGTTTGTCTCAAGCTATCTGCATTGACAACAAAGTTGATCTTTCTAGGAAAGGGATAGCTTCAAAAATAGGCAGAAACTCATTATCCCTCCTACCAGACTAGGGGCAGGGGCTGGAGAGAGAGGATCTAGTAACTAGGCTGTCCACTAGTGGGTGAGGAAAAGCCATAAGAGCAGGTGAGCCCAGGAAGAATCTTTGAGGTGAAATCTGTCATTGCTAATTTATTTGTCAAAAAGGCTAAAACGTCAAGAAGAGAGTGAATTCTTAACTATGTGGCATGTAGATTTTGTTTTAGAGCAGCCTGGAAAAGGCACCTATCTGCTCACAAGTTCCCCCTGAAGCCATGGGGGTATTTCTGATTCACACATCCAAAGGCAGATTTTGATCCTTGTTTCTTAATGAACTGCGTGTGAAACTGCTGGGGGAGAGGGTCTGGGGCAGACTGCCACATGGTAGAGAGTGGGATACAGATAGATTGAGGTGGACAGATGGCTGTGGTATTGCAGGAGGGAAAAGCTGAGAATCCTGGATCATATCAAACATGAAAATCAAACCCGTCTCATGTGAAGAAAGCTGACTGATTTACCAGGGAGCCAGGCTGCATGCAGCAGCCTAGCATCAGGAGACCACTATCATGAACTCCATTATAAATGTGGATATTCTGCCATTATTTATTTTCTTGAGTGTCTCCTAGCTCTTGAAGCATTTAATTAAACCTTATAACAACCTTGAGAGACAGGCGCAGTATAAGTATTGTTTCCTATTTTGCAGACAGAGAGAGAAAATCTGCATAGGGAAAAAACTAGAAGTGAAGAAGCTCCAGGTGCCCTCTTTCTCCTTCCTCAGGCCAGTAGAAAACAATTGCACTCAGGAGCAGAGTTGGTTCAATTTCTATGAAAGAGCCTGACAACCAACTCCCTTTGCTTGTCATTAAGCTGACTGTTCAGTTCTTTACTCTTCGTGCCACCTACTTTTATAACCATTTTGTTTTTGGTTTTTTTCAGATGAGGGTTCTGGCCAGCACAAATATTGCAGTAAGTTTCAGCTTTTTCACTTATTTTTGCATAGTTTAAGAGCAAAAATTGGCTAGTAATAAAGTTAATTAATTGGAAACTAAAAAAGTACTTGAACTTGATTCCATCCCTGAATCTCTGGCAGGATTTTGCATAGTTATGCATGTCAGGTCAGATAGGTTCAGATTTTCAGAGAAGTTTGGAAGGATTTTATTTATTTATTTATTTGTTTTACCTTGATGAAAGGATATTAGAAAATTACAACTGAATTTCCCCTCCCCACTCACTCCTACCTGTCCTTCTAACATCTTGTTTTGAGCTGCAGGGTAAGAGGTTATCGCTTGAAAATTTTAATGAGAAAAGCAGAATGCTCAGTGGTGAAATACAATTCTACACATCCCTAATTGAATTGTGCAGCTGGCTGACTGACATGTGGATACACGCTGAAGGCTAAATTTTACCCTGAGAGTAGCACCACTGACCTTAAGAAAGCTCATTAACTCAGCTGGTGAAAGGGCTGATGTCCGAATAGCTGATGTCACCCCTTGCTGCAGCAATTGCAGATGTCACTCTTCAGAGGGCCAGCATATTTGTGCTGGCAGATCCCACAAAGTGTATGTCTATGGTTTAAGGCTGGGTTGTTAACTGGGGGTATGCGTACCCCTATGGGGGTACTTGGACCAGTCCTAGGGGATACGTGCAGGCAGGCGGGGACAGAGTGCCACTGCCTCCCAGGAGCAGGGCTGGGGCAGTGTGAGGGCAGCAGCACTCCTCTGTGGCTGCCACCACACACCAGCCTGGTGAGCTTCCCCACCCCACAGAGGGGGGCCACTGCCCTCCCCCCAGCCCTGTAAGCTTCCCTGCCCCTGTTCCTGGGAAGCAGCAGTGCCCTATCCCCACCTGCCTGCGCACTGTCTCGGCCTCCCTGCTCCATGTCTGGCCATGTGCTATCCCCCCCTTCCCCCCGCAGCTGCATGCTTCTCCTCCCCATTCAATGTCTGGCTGCCAGGGGCACTTAGACTAAAAAAGGTTGAAAACCCCTAGTTTAAGGGGAATCAGGGTCCATGTTTCACCAACACGCTCAACTTCTCCACCTATTGCCCATCTAAAAAAAATGAAACCAGAAACTCTGGGGCCAGTTTAGATAATACAAGTTGATACATGATCATGTAAGTTCTAATTTAACCTGTAGAGCAAGGTAGGGATATATTTAAGAACAGAGCCACATTACTGAAGAGAAAGCTAGAACATCCCTACTACACCCAAGCAAGTATGTGTTGCTTTAGTTCAGTGTTTGGAAACCTACCTATGGCTTACCATGGATTACTGTTGTACTGGGGTCCTCCTACCTTATTACCTGATTACCAGGAAGAATATAGTTTAGTTGGATCCCTACACCATCATCTGGTGTATGAGCACTTTTCTAGGATATGGGAGAGCTGTACGGGCGGCTCCAGGGAGGGTGCAGTGGTACAGTTGCACCCCTGCCCCCCACCCCCTTTGATTTCTGGTCCACACTCAAAGTTTAAAGCTAACTGCCTGGCAGTGGCAGCAGCACTACTATTCAGGCAAGAGTGAGGGAGTCACTTGACTCCATGGCTCATTGTAATCTACCTAATTCCTTCTAAATTAAATTCCACAGGGGTTAACAGCCTTCTCTCCTTTTAAAATGGTCTTAATAGTCCACTACTTAAGCACTTCTCTGTTCTGCAACTCTGCTGTCTGTTAGCTGCTCCTGGTAATGTAGCTCCTATTTCACAGCTCCATAGACCATTTCTAACTCTAGCTAAAAACATGAACCCAGATCTGGAAAAATTAACTTGTGAACATGAACTTGGGTATAAAAATAACTTGCTGTGAAGAATTGGATGCACAAGAATTGGGTGCTCAAGAAGGCTTGATTTTGTTCTATGAAACAAATATACAATTTAATCCTAATGACTACAGGACAAAAGAAACGTCTTTTGGCTATTTTTTCCTAGTTTGTTTTTTAATACATAATTTATGCTACACCAAATTAATGCATTTTTAATTCTAGTAAAGTTTTATTTGTTTCTGTTTGGATCTTAAACTGAATAAAATAGCCCTAGGCCCCTAGCATATTAGTAAAGCCTGGAGTTTCTTTTTACCTGGAGAAAATGTGTGTTGTGTTATATGTGTTGATGCATCACACCTTAAGATGACTCAGCCATCTTGGCAAAGGAGGACACTGCCACTGCTATGGTCCCTTCATCTACAGGGTGGAAAAACATTCTTGTACTCCCACGCCCCTTTCATAGGCAAGCATTCTTGTGCTCCTACTCCCCTTTCACTGGCTGCTCCTTCCAGAGGTGGCACCAAAGGACAGTGGCCTTGGAATGCTCCATCTGGGACTATGGAGCCCTCATCACAGTGCTGGCAGGCAAACACTTTTATCTGTCTGGCAACCCTGAGAAATGCTCTCAAATGTATATGTATGCATGCATTTATTTATTTAACGTGTACTCTACCTTTTCCCCAAAAAGGCTCAGGGTGCCTTACAATAAAAGACCAAAGATATTATAGAAGCAAAATAAAATAGTAATATAAGAAGTCTCAACAAAACAAACTCCCCTCCCACCCTACCCCCAAGAAAATCTTTAAATTCAAAGCAATCCATTCCACACCTTAATTCCCTGCCTCTGACTGAAGCGAGATTCTCTTCCCCCTTTAGCTCAAACTTGTTCTCCAATCCACACCTCCTCAACTGGTCAAGAGGTCCGTCT